CAGTTCTCAAGAATTACAAGTGTCATCTTCCCTTGTAGGGATGTAAAGAGGTTGTCTCTATTAATAACATGTTACTTTCTGTCCAGTTTACCTTTTCATGACTGTCTTGAGTCTTGTATTTGAAGATCAAATTTTCTGTTGAGCTCTGGTCTTTTTTATCAGGAAGGTATGGAAGTCCCCTATTTCGTTGAATATCCACCTCCTCCCCTGAAAGATCATGCTCATTTTCACTGGGCAGTTGATCCTTGGTTGTAAAGGGAAGGTAGGACAGCAGTTGAGAGATGGGATGGGGCAGCTAGGTGGTGCAGTAGATACAGCACCAGCCCTTAAATCAAGAGGACCTGAGTTCAAATGTGACCTCAGACCAAACACTTGTCATTTACTAGTTGTGCGACCCTGGGCAAGTCACTTAATCTTGTTCTCCCTCAGTCTTCTGAAGATGAAGATAAAAATAGTACCTATCTCCCAGGGTTGTTCTGAGGATCAAATGAGATAATAATTGTAAAGTACTCAGTATAGCTCCTGACACATAAGAAGCTCTATACAAATGCTAGCTATTATTATTATTATTAACAAGAGCCAGATTCTGATATTCTCAGGGAAACTCAAGATTGGAGCAAAAGGAGCCATAGAGTAAAAGCATACAATGACAGAATTAGATTTATATTGAGAGCTGAAAAGGACCTCAAACAAAAACAATTTAAAACTCAAAAGCTTATGGAAGTGATTGTTGATAAATCAAAATTAATTAATAAAGTTAAAAAAAAAAGAAAACATCTATTCTGACCCCAACATTTTATACATGAGAAACTGAGGTTCAGAGAAGTTAAGGGATTTGCCTGAGGGCTCACACAGTTAGTAAGTATCTCAGATGGGATCTGAATCCAGGTCTTCCTGACTCCAAATCCATCATTCTATCCATTATGTCTTGTCTGTGTAGGGGTAGGTGCTTTATTATATACTAAGGATATCATAGAGTTGCAGAAAAAAGTACTATTCAAGGTGGGATCAGAATGCTCTCAAGTGCTATTTCTAAATTTTCATAGTAAGTTTTGTTTAGGGCCAGATGCTCTGATTATTTGTGATTTCCTTTTTTTTTTTTATTATGAACTTCAAGAGCTAGTGTGATATAATAGATAGCCAGTCTTGGAGTCAGGAAGACCTGGGTTCAAGTCATTCCTATGATCTATACTGGCTGTGTGACATTGAGCAAGTCACAATCTCTCACAATCCCAGGCTTATGGTGTCAAACTCATATAGAAATGGGGCCACTAAACTACACCAGAAACCCTCCATGTTGCATATTGACTTAGAAAACCACATATTATTTATGTTTTATTGTATTTTAATTTATTTTGGTAGGTATTTCCCAATTACATTTTGATCTGGCTCAACAGTACTCAGAAGTGTCCTGGGCCCAATAGGGCCAGCCCACCCTAGGGTTTTCCCCCTGGTCTAGGAAATATTCTAAGTATATAAATTGCAGAAAAGGTGTTGACCTGAACGGGTAGAGAAAGTTTCATCATCCGGGAGTTCCCCATACCAATGAAAAAATAGGTCCAGTCTCTATCCTATTATCAATTTAACCATCATCCACAAACTCAAGTTATTCTTAGATTACATAAGAAACTGAACTTCTATTGAATAGTTTGCTTTTTTAAGAAACACATTAAACTTCACAAGGTAGTCATGTAATTGCATTTTACGTCCCTTTCCCTGTCCTGTTAAAAAAAATATGTTTCATTGATGCTGGAGGGTGGGAGTGAGGATGTCTATATCACTAACCTTTGAATATGTGCAATCCACTCAAAACAATAAATGAAGTCCTAGAATTTGTGTTTCATTAAGACTTATTTTTTTAAAAGACAGTTCTTCAGAGTGCCCAGAGCCTTCAACCACTAAGGTCTATACCCAAGAGCTAGAAAGGTCTTTAGAATTCCATGCCTGGAATGCTCTCACTCCTTATACATAGCTCTACTTTCTGCCTTCCTTCTAAAATCATTTTCTACCAGAGGTCTTTCCAGATCCTCCTTCAAGTGCAAGTACCTTCCCTCCATTATCTCCAACTTATCACGTATGTAGCTTGTTTGTCCATAACTGCCTTAATGGTACCTCCCCCATGAGACCACCTGGAAGGGTTGTTTCCAGGATTGTGATCATTGTAAAACCCTTAGTACCGTGCCAAGCGCCCAATGGGCGCTTAGTAAATTCTTACTGACAGGTTATCCTGATAGCGAAGTGAGGGGCGCAGAGCGAATGCTGAGACATAGTCGAGAAGGTGCGGGGGATTGTCTTGAACATGACTCTATATCCTTGTTTTTCTTGCTTTCTCAAGGAAAGGTTGTGAGGGATAGAACTAGAGGAATGGAAGGAGAGAAGGATGTCTTCGTCTGAAAATTAAATATTAACTTTAAAAAATACACACACAAAGAAATCTGGTAAAACCGTCGGGTTTTACTGATAAGTAAACCAAGATCCAGAGTTGCGTAGATTAGGGGCCTACTATGTGCCAGGCTCAGGGCTAAGCGCTGGGGACACAAATGGAGGAGAAAAACCGTCCCTTCCTTCATGGAGCTTCCAATCTAATGGATTTACACGGCGACTAAATATGGCAGAACCCGAATTCGAAGCTTCGCTCTCCAAAGCCGGCGTTCCTGCCATTAGGCCCGACGCTCAGAACAGGAAGTGACGGCCTTCCGGACCACCGCGGGTGACCGGATACCAGGTCCCTCCCACCGAAGGTTTAGCTCCGCCCCATCCCCGGCCCCGTCCCCATCCCCATTCCTCCGCATCTCTCCCCGGGCCCGAGACCGCGCCCGAGCCGGGGCGGGATCATTCGCGGAAAGCACCGCCCAGCCGCTTTGCGCACTAGCGCGGCCGTTTCACTTTACGGCCGCCCGGAGGGGGTGGGGTAGGAGACGTCTGCGAGGGGGGAGGTTTCTGGGTGGGGAGGAGAGAGGAGGTTTATTTGCAGCAGGCCGTAAGTGAGGGACGAGGACGTGCGACAGCCGCTGGAGGGCCACGGAGGAGGCGGGTCGGTGTTTCCCAGGCCGGGGAGGGGGGTGGCGAGGTTGGGCCGGGCCGGGGGTGATCGGTGCGCGGGCCCGGGGGGGGAGGACGCGGGGCAGCGGAGGGGGGGCCGGCCCGGGCACCATGGGGCGGGCCGGGGCTCGGGGGCCGCTGTCACGGCCGGCTCCCGGCCCAGCCTCGCCAGGCGCTGCCGGCGCCGGGGGCCTGAGGAGAACCGTGTTGTTGTGTCCCCCGCAGCGTAGCGCGGCCCGGCCCCGCCCGCCATGAGGCCGCAGCAGGCGCCCGTGTCCGGCAAGGTCTTCATCCAGCGGGATTACAGCAGCGGCACCCGGTGCCAGTTCCAGACCAAGTTCCCCGCCGAGTTGGAAAACCGGGTACGGAGCCCCAAGGGACCTGCTGCGGCCCCTGACAGCTTCCTTTCTGCGACGGGGGTCGGGGGGCGGGGGAGTCCTGTTCTCTAAGACTGGCAAATGGGGACACTGAGGCAGGGATGGGGAGGGTGGCAGAGACACCAGAGAGGGTCCGGAGGAGGGGGTGCTGGGGGAGAGAGCAGGCTGGCTGCAGCAGCAGCAGCGGGCGGTGTTGACTGGGTGAGAGGGGAAGGGAGCCTGCATCGAAAGCAGTAAGTGATGCACTGTACTTGGCAAAAAGAAAGAAAAACGCTCATTGTCGATGGTCCTTGGCCCTTTGCTAACTCAGAAACAAGCCTGGCATCCCACTGCCCTGTTTTGATGCCTAGGAAATGTCTGTACCATCCAGTAGTAGGCTTTTTTTTTTAATAATGCTTTATGGAAGTCGAACACTGAAATATTTTCCTTCTTTCTCCAGATATACTACTGGAGTGGTATGTGTGTATGTATATGTATTCAGTAGTAGTATTAATGTATAATATATGCTACATAGTGTGCGTATGTACACGTGTATATGATACTCCGTTAATAAACCATAATTAGGCCATGACTTCTACATAAATACTGCTATAGTACTTATGTATAGTATTTGTATTACATATGTACCATATTATATATGTAGTATATATAGCACATGTACATAACACTATAAATACTATGTATGCTACATATAGCATAAAGACTATATGTAGTGTAAATGCTATATGTACTATACATAAATACTACTGTAATAATATTTATATAGAAGCCATGGTCTAAGTGGTTTATCAACAGTATTATTTTTACATGTGCATGTGTACATACACAAACTATTTACTATACTCAAGCCAATTAGTGGTTGGATCAGGTTTAGTTGCTTGGGTTTTTTTGTTTGTTTTTCTCTTGTTGACAGTTTACTCTGAGGTGATTCGTCAAGTGATGGGTGTGGGGCTGAGGAACGTTGGTGATGGAATCAGTGGGTGTAGATGAGTCTGTACTTGAAAAATTTCCTTTAGTAGTAACATAAAGCCATCTTGGAATCAGTGGGGTTGCTCTACCGGATAGCCGAGCCATTCAGAGTAGGAGTAGGAAATCTACAGTACCTTAATATGATATTGGCCCTTCCCTCTATTTCCTTTAAGGCCAGAGGCAGATCAGCATTCTGCACCTCCATTTTCTTATTTTGAAAATGAAGATCAAACCACTTTGTAAAGATTTTTTTTGGAGTAACCCCTGTTTGTGAAATGCCAAATAAATATTGAGGTTATTAATCCTGAAACTGTGAGTCAGCAAAATATCAGTCATCAGTGAAATAAATAGTGCCTCAGCTAGGCATAACTGGTTGGCATTTCTACCATAACCTTTTCCAAAGCACCTGCCTTGAAATTGGTTCTGGCTTTTTGGAGAGGCATTAAGTAAAATAGAGTTGGCTATTGTCACAGGAAATTTAAAAAAGTAACATGTTTTAAATGTTAAACCATACGAATTAGGTGAAAATATTAATTTTTTAAATCTCTGACAGGAGAATTAGAAATTTAGCAATCTGATTTCCACGCCCAGTGCCTCCAAAACTTTTGAAACTGCCCTTTCTAAGGTCATCATTGCCTTTCTAAGTGCCAAATCAATGGCCTTTCCTCTGTCTTCAAAGTCTTTGACTTTTTTGTAGTTTTTTATTGCTATACTTTTCCCTAAAATTCTCTCCTTGGCTTCTAAGATCCCAAACTCTTGTGGTTCTCTTCCTTCTCCGACTCCTTGAGCTTCTCTTCCTCCTAAATGAAGCCATTCCCCAAGACTCTTGTCTGTGACTACCCTGTTTCCTTTTCTTGCTATGTCTTATAGCTTGTCCACTTGACTACAGGTGACTCCCCAGACTAGATCCAGTCCTTACCTTTTCTCCCACAGTACAGACCGTCTAGGTCTACCTTTTGGCTGACATCTGCATCTGTATCCTCTGCTAGCATTTCTAACTTAACATGCCCAAAACTACATTCATCATGTTTCCCACAAAACTTTCTCCTCAGGTCATCATCTGTAAAGTAAGGGGTTTGGACTAGATGACCTCAATTCCTTTTAAGCTACGATCCTATAATTATGTCAGTGACCTCATTCAAGGCTCCCTTTCATTTGGGCTCAAGATGGGCTTAGAGTCAGCATTGATTCTTACTTCTGCCTCACTGAAGGTTGCCACTTGATCAACATTAATTCAGCTTGGCCAGTATTTTATCAGAGGTTAGTGACATTCTGCTATGGCTGGATTCTTGTTTGTGTTTTTGACTTTGATTTCAGTAACTACTTTTTCCCCATATCCACTTGGTTCATAAGATCATTCTCTACTTAAATAAAGTTTTTTGTTTTTTGGTTTATTTTTGCTAGGCAAGTATCAAATGCTCTGAGGGCAGATTTGAACTCAGGTCCTCCTGACTCTAAGGCTGGTGCTCTGTCCACTGCGCCACCTAGCTGCCCCTACATAAAATCTTTTAAACCATCCCTTTTACATTTCATTGCCACTGGTCAAGACTACTGTAACAGACTTGTAATTGGCCTTCCAAACTCCAGTGTTTCTTCCGAACTATGCTATATACTGCTGCCAAATTAATCCTAAAGCACAGTTCCAGTCTTGTTACTCCTTTTAAAACATGAAGTGAATGGAATGTTAGTCAGTTCACATACCACACATACATCGTTAACCTACGTTTGCATCTTTGTCTCCCCCTTCCCCTTCATATACATCATACTCTTGCAAGACTGGACTATTTTCTGTTTCCCAAGTATATCCACTTTCTCACCTATACTCTCATCCTTGCTAGACCATTCCTTCCGTTTAGAATGTTCTTCCCCACAATTGCTACCTGTAGAAAACTTAAGATTTCCCATCCAATCACACAAGCATCCTGTAAGGTCTTTCTTGAGCCCTCTTGATATACTTGTCTCTGTCTTACTCCTAAACTGAATGTAGTCTCTCCTAAACCTTCCTGTGGGAATTTGTACTTTTCAATATGACAGTTATTATTATAAGTATGTTTAAGGGACAGCTAGGTGATACTAGCTGTGTGATCCTGGGCAAGTCATTTAAACCCCCCACCCCCATTGCCTCACAAAAAGAAAAAAGCCACAAGTTTGTGTAGCTTTTATTCTCCTGTGTGAATGACTTGAGGGCAGAGACTGTTTTACTGTAGCCCCTACCCGTGTTGGGGCTAGTATTTATTGAATGGATACAACTTTTGAAATTAGACAGTATGTCCTTTCAATTCAGAATATCAAACAAATATAAGACCTGTTTACAGGTCTTAAAAGTCAAATTCTTAGCTCTAGTAGTTCTTGCCAAATGTACATATGCCTAATCAGACATTAATCTTCTAAGTCTGTGTGTGGCAGAACCTTCACTTTATAGCCTGATTACAGCAACAAAATTTACCAAGTTCTCTGCTCATTCTTACAGGAAATTGATGTTTTAAAATCTTGAAATCTTTTGTATTAGTGAACACTCTATAGAATCATGTATGGTGCTGCATAAGTGTGGCTTTGGGGGGTTTCTTTTAAAATGTTTGTATAAAAACACCAGCTTATACTTTAAACAGGCATTTTTGAAAGCTTTGATGGTATGTGTGTTAAGATTAAATTTAAATTACAGGGTTAAATTTTCCTTGCTTTGTTTGCTGGTAATTTGAAAGACTTCTTTTTGTTGTTGTTCCCTTACCCTAGAAATTCTGTTTATTACTTTGCAGTAGGCATTGATTGTCCTTTACTAAAAGTATAAAGTTGGCAAGTTAACATAGAGAAAACTGATATTTTAGGTTTAGTAGTACTTGTAAACATGGTATGAAGACATTCCATTTTGCAAACACATTTTCATCTTCCTTAGTTATTGGCTGAAGAGTTCTGTTGATATAAATGGATTTTCACACTGTCTCCATTAGAATGTTTCATTTTATTTGACTTCGTTTGATTTGTTAAAAATCTTCTCTACGTCTAGTCTATATAGTTACCTATTTTTGCCACTAAAAACTGCTTAGACTTTGGTCCTTTGCTTTTCATCACTTATTTCATCAAAAATATAAGAATTCTGGCATCAGGCAACCCTTTTTCCTATTTTTCTTCTGCTAGCCTAACTTAACTCAAATTTCTGCTTGGTGGTACTTCTCTTATCTCTTGTAGCTCTGATATCATCCACCCAAGTGCCAAAGTAGGACACTAATTGTTCTCTCCCAAATGTGTGAAGTGAGATTGAAGTTCCTAGGTATGTTCCCTAAAGTCTATTCTTACTGCATATACTGTCCGTATTTGCTGCTGGTGGTCACTTTTTTATCCTTTATTCTTTTACTTTTTAAAAACCTAAAAAATCATTCTTTGACGCTTGCTTTTTAAAAAATTCTGTTCATTCTCTTCCATATGACATAGTGACCTCTGTTCCCACAACTTCAGCATAACTAGCTCTTGCTGAGTGATTCTGATCATATAGCAACAGGATATTTTGGAGGCTCTGAATCTGAGCAACTTTCAATTCAAAGGATCTTCTTTGCTGTATTATAACATTGCAGGCACATTTTGGAACTGAGTAACATTCCTTATTATTTTATGGGTTTGATAGACATGATTCAGTAGGAAATAATAATGGTAGCAATCATTTATGCAGCCAATCTAAGATTCTATGATTCTGCTATCTTGTCAGAGAATACCTTAAAGAGGAGAGAGAGTTCAGCTCTTGAGTTGTTAGTAGTGCCTTAGGAAAGGTAATATTACAGCTATCCTATAAGAATGTGATTTAATGCAGCATTGCGTTAAATTGAATTGCAGGGTACCATCGGAAAAGAAAAGAGGTAGTCAAATTGTCAGGTGACCAAGATGAATTTTGTAGCTGGATTATGTACTACTTGAAGTAAAATGAAGTTGGGAGTAATGGTATTAACCTAGATATAATCAATCAAGCAATTGTTGTTCAGTCGTTTTAGTCATGTCCAAGTGACCCCATTGGGGGTTTTCTTGGCAAAGATAATGGAGGGGTTTGCCATTTCCTTCTCATTTTACAGATAAGGAAACTGAGGCAGACAGGGTTAAGTGACTTGCCCAAGGTCATACAGCTGTTGTCTGAGGTGGGATTTGAGCTCAGGTCTTCCTGACTCCAGGCCTGGCACTCTATCCACTGAGTCACTAAGGCCATGACAATACTCTGTAACAGTACCCTAATGTACTGCCGTGTAAGATAGAGGACATCTACACAAAGTGAGACTTGAGGCAGAGAGATCAGTTTGGAGGCAGTTGTAACAATATGAGTGGTGATAAGAGCCTGAGCTATGTTATATGGGAGAAGTCAGATGCAGGAGATGTTGTAAAGGTAAAAATGCCAAGATGAACATGTAGTCATGTGCATAGAGATTTTAGACAGAAGCAGATGAACTTACTAAGAAAGCATAGAGGGAGCCGAGAACCCAGGTGTGAATCTTAGGCAACAACCTCAGTTAGGGGGCATGATGTGGAGAAAGAACCAACAAAGGCTTCAGAAAAAAGTAAACGATGTGAAATTGAAATTCATGGTTTTATATTGAATCCTCTTTTTATGCTGTGCTTGTACATGAAAATATTCTCTTTTGTCTTTTTGTATTTAAGTTCAAAATGAATAAAAATTTAAAAAAAAACAAAAGGAGACTGAGGAGCAGTGAAATAGGTAGGAGGTGACATAGGGAGAAAGCACCATCATGAAAACCCAGAGAGAAGAGGTATTAAGGAAGAGAGTGTCAAATGCAAGAGGTCAAGAAGTATTAGGACTGAGAAAAGACTAACAAATTTGGCAGTAAAGAGATCTTTGGTAATTTTGTGAAGAGGAACTTCAGTTGAGTAATGAGGTCAAAAGCCAGATTTCAAAGGGTTAAGGAGTGAATGAGAGAAGAGGAATTAGGCAGCAATTTCTTTAAGGAATTTGAGAAAAGGAAGAGATGTGTATATTTGTAGGTAGAAATAAATACCTGACTGAAAGTTTTAGTCATTGAAATACAGACCAGAGTGGTAGAGTTTGGTGACAAGTTGGCTGTTAGGAGCAGGAGAATAGTGAAGGATTGAAAATAATTCTGAAATAGTATGCCTGGGAGACAGGTAAGGAGATCTTAAGAAACTCACATATTGATCAGGAAGCCAGTTACAAGGTTTTAGTGGGAAGAATTATACTAAATTTGTTTAGTTGAACCACATGTTCAATTTGAGATATTAACAGGGTACGCTGAAATATTCTAAAAGAAATGCCACAGGCAGACAAAATGAAAGCTATGGATCTACATTCTCATTAACATATTAGTAGATTAAGGCACTTAGAAATTAGTGTAAAGGGAAGAATAGAAGGTGACAAATTAAATTTTTACAAAAGTTTATTGTCAAGTGAGAGAGGTGAAGCTAACTGTTTAATTTTCATTAATAGCCATGACTAGCCAGCAAACACTAATTTCTTAAAATCTGGAATAGAAAGCTATACATTAGTGATTACGTATTTCTCAAGCATAGCTTTTTCATTTTTGCTTTTCTTACAGATTGACCGGCAGCAGTTTGAAGAAACAGTTCGTACTCTAAATAACCTTTATGCAGAAGCAGAAAAACTTGGGGGCCAATCTTATCTTGAAGGCTGTTTAGCTTGTTTGACAGCATATACTATCTTTTTGTGCATGGAAACACATTATGAAAAGGTAAAGTTGCACGAGAATGTCTAAAGCATGTTACCTTTGCATTTTTGCCTTCACTAAAAGTCTTTGGTGCCTTATCATAGTGAAACAGTAACCCTAGGTTGTTAAAGACTGTCAGTGGAGCACATGCTCTAGGAGACTCTCTTAAGTTAAAAAGTCTTTAAGTATGTGGGATTTGTCATTTAGGGATTGGCCTTACCAGGTGTGCAGAGGCTGGTCACCAGGTGACAAATTCTTCTGACCACTACAATTCATGAAGGCCATCTGCCCAGCTTTTGGAAGATTGGCAGGCTATTAACAATGGAAGGAATACTCATACCAGATAATTATGGATCCTTGAGGTTTTTGGGGGGAAAAATTTTTTTTTTTTTGGCTTTTAAACAACTTTCTAGGGGCACTTACAGTGTAATATTTGAGATAATTTTTTGCTCCTAATGTTCAAAGCACTTATGAGAGTGAGTACTCATTGCCTGTCAGAAACAGACCAAAATAGTTACTTCCGATTGAAGGTACCACCATTTACACAGCCCTCGACTTTAGCTCAATAGTATCTGCTTACAACCTAATTCAGCTTTTCCTAAAATTCTTTTAGCTAGTAAGGATCCTACTTATCTCTAATTTTGAATTAATTGAAGCTAATATATTACTGATTTTAAACTTTTAAAAGAGAAGTGGCTGTACAGCCATTATTATAGGTACATATCTCTTTTTTTTAGGCAGTTGGGGTTAAGTGACTTGCCCAGGATCACACAGCTAGTAAGTGTCCTAGCTGCCCCAGTAGGTGCTTATCTCATGGAGGCCCATAAAACAATGACATACACTGTATTATTGGGGCAGCTAGGTGGCACAGTGGATAGAGTGCCAGATCTGGGGTCAGGAAGACAACTCTTCCTGAATTCAAATTTGACCTCACACTTAATAGCTGTGTGACCCTGGACAAGTCATTTAACCTTGTTGCCTCAGTTTCCTCATCTGTAAAAATGAGCTGGAGAAGGAAATGGCAAACCATCCCAATATCTCTGCCAAGAAAACCCCAAATGGGTTCACAAAGAGTCAGACACAACTGAACAACCCTGTATTATATATTGTGTGAGATATCCCTGTTGCTACCTTGAGTTTACCTTCTGGGTAAAAGAGTTTATTTTAAAATATCAAGATAATTAGATGTGTGCAATATATATACTTACTTTGCAAACTTTGAAGATTTTCTATCCAAGAACTTGCACTTTTATTTACTAGCAGAGAAGTCATGGCCTTTCATTCTTTTTCTTTCTTTCCTTTTTTTTTTTTTTTTTAATGCTCGGCAATGGTGTTAAATGACTTTCCCAGGGTCACACAGCTAGTGTTATGTGTCTGAGGCCGAATTTGAACTCTGGTCCTCCTGACTCCAAGGCCGGTGCTCTGTCTATTGCGCCATCTAGCTGTTGCCATGACCTTTAAATCAAATGGTATAAGAAATATTAAATGGTTCATATCTGCTTTTGGATATGGCATCTTCATACTGATTACATATTGTACAATGTTCCCATATTCTTTTTTGTTTAATGTACTTATAGATAATTTTGCTTGGAGATTGGTACTTAAAGTCTAATATAATATTTCTGAATTGAAGGAAAAATACATTACCATAAAATATCTTATTCATGTTTAGTGGTGTGTATAGTACATGAATAAGAGTACTTTCTGCCTTTCAGACTTGGTGACAAAGTGTTGTCAGGTTGTAATAGACTTCCTTTATTATTTGTTTAGGTATCTGATAAAATTCCTCTGTGGAGAGTAGTTATGCATACCTCACACTGACATCAAGAACAATCATTATAGTTATTTGAGAAATGAAAGCCATTTAGCTGAATATCTTATAAATTGTAGTTTTTAAATATGTTACTAGTGATGCTGGTAGATTTTAATCTGAATTTATAAAAATCAAAATTTTCTGCTGCTTTGCAATTTATATGTTACTAGATTTGAACCTCTTTAAGATTTATATTTTAGAAATAATCTTTTAGTTGAAATATTGATGCAATATTGATGAACTCTTTTAAAAAAATTATAAATTTTAATTTGAAACTTTAGAAGGTAGTTCAGTGTCAAACACAAAGGAAATTTTGATCCTGTAGGTATTTTTCTACTTAGACTTCTACTGGTAGTGCTTATGGTTCTACTTAATCAAGGGTCTCTTCCATGTTATTTGGCTTACCAAGTAAGTTTGATCCATGAGTCAAACTAAGACACAGCTACACATAGAAAAAAAGATGTGGGTAACTAAACAAAAAGAAAGAAACTGGACCAATTACAATTTCATTATTGCATGACTTTTTTAGGATCCTTTATAAATATACATTTATTGAAGTAAAGAATCCACATAGAACTTATCCCTTACAATTATGTAGTTCATTGATAATAACAGGGAAGTAGATCATTTTAGTTTTGCATATTTAAAAACTGAAGATCCTAGTAGTTATCTACTTGTATGGTGAATCCAAAAAAATTGACATAGAAAGGCAAGAACTTTTGTTACCTTTAAAAAAAAAAGGCTGAATCTCAAGAGGGGGAGGATTTGGGGAAGACAGTGTTCTTCATTTGGATAAACCTATGTTCTTTTCTCTTGAAGGTCAGTTGCTCTTACTCCAATTTAGTATTTTTAGGAAAAAGTTAACCTTTCATAAAGCTTGGTGTAGTTAAGAATGCTTTATCTTTATGCACATTGCACAAATTATGGTTATGTTGAAGGTTTGAGGAAGGGGATAGTTTTTGTTGGATGCTGTGATTTGCCAAAAAATAGAAATGGTGAATAAAATGACTGAAACTCCAGCAGGTGAAGAGTTGTTGGGTTAAGAATGGTGCTTAGAAAGTGCCCTTTCTAGGACGCTGAATGAATTTAGGATATAAAAGTTGTTCCGTTACTGAAGAGACCAAAAAGTTTGTTTTTTGTGTTTTTTAACACCTTGTTTGGCATAGTGATAGCTTCTACAAAATACCTAACAAGATTTGAATTCTCATGCACACAATTGTCTTCTTTCTGAGCTGGTGTCCAAGTGCACATTATTGCTATTAAAACTTAAATTAAAACCTTTCCCAACAAAAGTTGAATTTAATAGAACAAAATGGAGTGTTATTTCTCTGGTAATAATCTCTACCCAAGAAAAGAGGGAGGGAAACTTTTCTGAAGGCATCCTTTCTTTGAAATCAGTCATGCAGACGTTTTCTGAGAGAGTATCCTTGAGTTCTAATGGATTAGGGTGAGGGGATACTAAATCTCCAATTTCCATTTCTGGCGGCTGAACCTAGAGGGAAATTGGAGAGTTTGAGAGACTCGAGTTAGCCATCTTTATGGCTTACTTCCTTCCATTCATTATTTGAGTGTGATTGACAGGTCGTGATACAGAGATAGGAGGTAAGACTTTTTGCTTCTTAAAGATTAACTGAACTTTCCTTGAAATTGAAAGTGAGAAAATGTTCAGTGTTACTGAAGGTAAATTTGTTGTTCTAAGAAGAAATGAAATGAAAACTCCCTTTCTCTAAGGATAATACCACAAATTTATTGACTTACTACAGTAGATCTTTACAAGCTAGCTATTCTTTCAAGAATTTACCATTTAAGTGCTTATCATCTTTAAAAAACACGTTAGTAAGTATAGAATATTGAAATGTAAACCAGTATATAATCACAAACCTAGATTGCCATCTTCAGTATACTGGTTAGTTTGACCCAGTATGTTACTAACCTAAATTCAAAAAGTTAATTTCCAGCATTATTTTCACAAAATTTTTCTCCCTTTTTTCCAAGAGATTTTAATCTCCAAACAGTAGTGTTAATTTAAAGAAATACGTAGAAATTGGAGCCTCATATTTTAGAGCTTTATCAAAGTTATTTTGAAAATTAGGCCAGAAGAGGGATTACAAAAACTGTCTATAGTTGGAAATAAAAACTTTTTCATTTCTGGTTGATAATTCAGTATTTCAGATACTTGTGATTTCATTGGTATGGGTACTTTCCACCTATGCAGATTATATCTGCTCAAAGCCTTAATATTCAGCCATTGTAAATTGCAAGGACAAGAACATTGCATCACCTGGTGGCCAGCCATTTGATGGCGAACCTGTCAGTTCATCTAGGCTGGTCCTCAGACACAAAAGCCATTGGTGGATCTGTTCTTAAAGATTTTCCATCTTGTTAGGAATTGCCAGAGTAATTATTCCACACTATTAACATAGCCATTGAGAACCCAGGATCACCCAATTCCCTTCATATTCTAAAAGCTTTAACTTTCTTTCTTGTATCCCAGAATCTCTTTATTGAATCAGAAGAATTAACAATTAGTAGAATTTGCCTTCCATCCAGATTTGCCTCCATTTTCCTTGAGTTGTATAAGCTTCAGTATTGTTTGTTAATTTAGCAGTTCACTTGTGTAGTCACACTTAATGCTGTTGAAAGTGATCATAGTATCAGGAACTTAATTACTGGGAAGTTCGGGAAATTAAAGGTCATGTATATTACAAAGAAAATCACCTTGCTGGTTCTGAAATAACTGTTTTGCCTTTGTCACAGTCATTACCAGGAATAATTGTCCTATGCTACCTAGTCAAAAGGAAAAAGAAAATAGCTAAAATTAGGTTAAAGGAGAGACTAAAGAGCTGCCCTTAATAATGGAAGACATTGTATTAATAAAACTTTTCATTGAAAATCAGCGATATTCCTTAAGGAAAAATAGAAAAACTTTCATTGTGTGCAGCCAATTTCATTGTGTATTAAGCATCTCCTGTGTGTAACGGTGCTGGGCAGTAGGAGTCCAAAGGTGAAAAATGGCAAATTTCTGCCCTTGTGGAGTCTAGAATGTACAGGAATTTATTGGACTTCCAACTCACAATGAATCAGTATCAGGATGTAGCCAGAAAAACAAAGATCAGTGCTATTCTAATCTGTGTTAAGAAAAGCAGTATGTTCAGAACAAAGGAAACAATATATATCCCCACTGTACTCTCACCTAATGATACCCCATCTTGAATATTGTGTTAACTTTTGGGCATGTCCTTCATAATCTGTCTTGATTTCGCTTATATCCATGCCAGAAAAGATTGACTGAGAACGAGTGAAGGGATCTGAGGTCATGCCATACAAAGAGATGGAGATTTTTAGCCTGAGGAACAGAAGACTTCAGGAAATACAGCATAGCTGTCAGACAGTATTTGAATGTGAAAGAGATTCATTTTTTTTTTATTCCTGCTTGGCCCCAGGAGACAAAGCAAGGAGCAATAGAAGTGGCAGAGTCAAATTTTGATTCAATGTAAGAAAGAACTTCTAACCATCAGGGCTGTCTAGGAGTGGAATTGGAGACTGGACATTTTCAGGTGGTGACTGAATGACCAGTGTTTGTTAGTGTCGTATAAGGGATTATTAGTGAAGTGTTGGCTGATCCAGACTGCCATTAGGGTTCCTTCCAACTATGAGATTCTGTAATGATTGTCAAATGCTGTGTGAGGACTGCGAATTGGATTTATTGATCATAAGTGACCTCAGGATGCTGTTCCAGTGAAGCAATGAGAAGGAAAGCCAGATTACAAGAATGTTGATAGTGAGTGGGCCATGCGGAAGTAGAAGAAACAAATACATGTTATTCATTCTGGAAGTTATCAGTTCCTTCAGTGCCTTCTTTTTATTATCTCTAATCTCTCATATATAGCCTGTTTGTGCTTAGTTGTTTACATCTCATCTCCCCTGTTGGACTGAGATTTCTTGAGAACAGAAACTGTTATTCTTTTCTTTGCGTCCCCAGTGCCTTGCAAGAATGCCTAGCACACAGTAGGTGCTTAATAAATGTTTATTAACCAACCTACTATTAACTGTGAAAAAGGCAAATATCAAAACTGGTAAGCCATAGGAACTTCAGTATTCTAATCTTTAAAACTAGGTTTATATAGCCAGCTGATACTTAAAAGAACTTCCACTAAAATCTAAACGATTGGGTATTTCTTTCTGACAGGTTCTGAAGAAAATCACCAAATATATTCAGGAACAGAATGAGAAGATTTACGCTCCACAGGGCCTCCTTCTGACAGACCCAATTGAGAGAGGACTTCGTGTTGTATCTTTTTTGTTAAAGATAAGAAAACTAAAGTGACAGTGTTGGCATAGGCTAAGACAATTTAATATTGATTTTACTACCTGCCCTAGAAAATTTTTGTGTATGTTACTTGCATTTTTCCTGCAAACTCTTTGCTTTGGTATCTTGTGTTTTGCAAACTTTTTAGTATTCTGGATACCATCTTTCTTGGTGGTTCTGAGGGCATCTTGTAGTAATATTAGTTTTGATATGAGTAATGCTTTTCAGCTGCAGAGATCTAAACCAAAAGCCCTTTTGAAATGGATAAACTCAGTGTGTGGTGGAACTTGTCATCCAAATGAATTACAGTTCCATAGGTTCATCTGACTATTTGCCTAAATCAGTTACAGCTGCTGGATGTTTGATTTCATTACCCTTGACATTGTGCACATTTTCAGAAGCTATAAGCTTTGAAAAGCAGTAGGTGAATTTGGTAAATAAAATTATAAATAACATAACTTGATAATTAGATTAATGAATTGATAAATGGAATTTTAGATTATGTAATCCTAGTCCTGCCAATACAGGTTAGCAGCTGTACCGCAACTGATAGTTTTATGGTTGCTTGGGACATTGAGAGGTTAATGAACATAGCCAGTATGTGTTAAAGGTAGGACTTGAATCCCTGCTACTACTTAGCATTTACATAGCACATTAAGGTTTGCAAATCACTTTACAGATATTATCTCATTTCATCCTCGACTCTGGAAGGCAGATGACATTAATAGGTACACTTTACAGATGACAAAACTTGAGGCAGACAAAGGTTAAGTAATTTACCCAGACTCACACAGCTAGTGTCTGAGGTTAACATTTGAACTCAGCCTTCTTGACTCAAAGTAAATCCAGCACTTTGTCCATTGCGCCATCCAGCTGCCTCTATCCATTATTCTCCCACTGCCTTTGAAAAAAAATCCCAACCCTTTTTTGTTAACCATTGCAGACATTTCACTATACTCTAGAGTTTAAGTCTTATTTTTAATCATGATGTTTTGATACTTTATAGGAAATAAAATTTAGAGAAATAAGTCCAATTCTCAAAGTAATCAGTAAGTGTGAATATTTAAGTTAAGTAGAAATTATCTCAAAGAACATTTAATAAGTAAATTTTATAAAGACAAAAATAAAGCAGAGAGTGTAGAACTAATGCATTTTTTTTTAAATCAACAATAGTGCTGACACAGGGAAGTGAATTCAACTCATCTTTTATATCATTTAGTCTCCAGTGGTATGTTTTCTTAACAGCTACCCTATATATAGATTGAAATTACCATTTATGAAGACAGAGGCATGAGCAGTGGAAGATAAACCATGGAGTCCAAGGTAAATAACAAACTAGAGTTCCATTTTTAGGTATTTTCTATACATTCAAAATATGTAGGATTCTTCTTTCCTACTCAATAGGCATTTCCACTGCATGGAAACAAAACTTTTAAACCTTGTATGGGAGGTGGTGGATAGTTGATGCATATAGTTGAATGGTGTTTTCTTTAAATGATTGATTATATTGGTATAATATGTAAAAGCTGGCTTAATCAACATTTGATTTGGTTAGATAGAAATCTAAATCTAATTTTGTCTATATTGTGTCAGATTATTTTTATATATTAGACTAGCCTCCTCACATGACTGCTCAGGCCCTGCCATCAATCAGTTCACATAGAAATGTGAGTACCAGCACTTCAATTCAACAAACATTTATTAAGGACTTACTATATGCAGGGCTTTTGGGATATAAAGAAAAAACGATCCTAAGGGCTTTGGGATATGTGTATGTTGCGGGAAACATGCACTTTATTATTTTTTTTTATCTAATATTTATGAATAGATTTAGAGAAGTCACTTGACCTGGTTGGGTAGCAATACATTGACCTAGAGAAGAGGGGCAGAGTGGGTAAAGAGCTGATTCTACTTGGGGAGACCTGGGTTTATATCCTGACTCTGCCACATATTGGCTGTGACCCCGAGCAAGGCACCAAACCTCCTGTGCCCACGGCAGCTCTCAAACCATTGCGGTGAAGGTCCTAACCTGTCTTCGGAGAGAGTTCTCTTAAGTGAAGTCACAGGGCCAGTCTCTGACCTAATCTGCCAATGACATATCACTGTCTGCTCTCCACAAATATCATTAAATAAATGGGTTAATGCTACAAAAAGATCCATAGACCCATTTGTGTTGTGGTTTTCCTGGTATTCTTTTTCTGAGTTCTCCAAAACACTGAGACTGCTCCAGCTGGCCACAGTGCAGCAGTACCAGCTTCAGAGCAGGAGGTGCTGGTATTCCTTCCCTTCTGCCAGTTTCTCAAAGTTATGTCAGATATTTCAGGAGGTTGAAGTCTCATTTCTCCTGGACATCTACTCTTTATGACTTTCTCAACTGGTTTCTGTCACAGACTAGTGCCCTGCACAGTGGCAGAATGTAGCAAAGATAGACAACTTCTCCCAGATGTGGGAGGGACCACATAGAAAGCAGAAACTTTCATGGAGTAAAAATGAGAACTTTTTCCGTCCTTTGCTTCAGGATCTTGTCAGCACTTTTGAAGAACAAAGCTGTTAGTGGCTTCTGTCCAGTTTATTTGCAACTCCTGACAAAGTTAGCCTCACTATTCTTAAACGCTGTCTACTCTGGCACTGGGAAATGTAACCTGAATTTTTCTTAAAACTCAAAGATGTAAATAATGATGCCTGTGCCATATGTTTAGTTCCTATAAAAAGCCTTAGATAGCAGAGTATTTTGGAATATGTAGTGTTACTTGTCCATATAGTTTCTGGATTTGCAATTTCCTAACTGATATTTCTAAAAATGAGCAATCAGAAACCTTGTGTGGCTTTTGTTACATGCCATTGGAATAAATTTGTTTTATCAATTGCAGCTGCGTTGACTTGGCACAAGTCATTTGTCATGACTCATTTTGCAGCTATTATTGCTAAACAATGTTTTTCTGAGGTAGTGTAGGGTTTTGAGCAATTATACACAAGAGGCTAATCTATCAATGTTCAAACAACTGTGAAATTTTTGAGATGGGAAAGATTTACATTAGGAACTTCTGGATAGTTTCATGAATTGCAAATGTTTTTGTTCAGCACAATTGTGTTTTTAGAGCTGTATGTTCATCAGGAGCAGAACCCAGGAAGGGCTGGGAGCTTGTCAAACAGCTGTATGAATGTGTGTGAGGGCATGTGAAAGTGCACTTCATGCTTAACCAATCCCCATACACACACCACCCCAAGCTCCACACCTCAAATCTGCAAGTTGGCTGGAGATTAAAGTTAGTGTTTGGGGATTAAATGTATATTTTAATGAAGGAATATACAAAAGGAAGGTGACCTTCATAAAAAGAACTTTCAGTAAAGTAGCATTTTGTCATTTTTTTGTTAACCTTTTTGTAAAACACTTTGGAAAAGTGGAAAGCATTTTGTAAATGGGCCAATGCTCTCTCTATCCCTCACAGCCCTGTGAGGTACCTGATGTTATGTCTGTCAGGCTTCTCATGTGAATAAGAGAAGCGATTTGCTCAATGTCAGAATAAAATAATGGCTTTTTAAAAATTTTGAGTTCACACTGCTTGATTTCTAGGTCATTGATCTAGATGACATATAAGCTCTTGCAAATCCAGAAAACCTACTGGGTAAAACTCTCTAACAAAATAAAACCACTCTCTTATGTGTGAATGAATGTCAGTTGTTTCAGGAGAGATAAATGTACACTTTAGTATTTCTTTATGGCTTTCTAAGACCTCATGTTGATTCCTTTTTCAGAGTCCATCTCAGAATGGGACTCTCTTCTGTCCACCGGCCAACTGCAGAGTGTCCCCTACCTCCTCTCCAAGCATCATTCCTTTGTATCTGCTGCCAGAGCCATGGTGCCATTCTACTCCAAGGACTAACTTTCTAAAATTCCGCTCCTGGGGTGACATCTTGTCACTCAGCATCCACTTTGTGTCTTTAAACTATGTAGGACTCTGTAATCTTTGTAGTTATTTCTGAGAAAATATAATGAAGCATTTCACTTTTTTAATTCAAAACAATTTAATAAAATGAGCTGTGTAAATCAGCCCAATCCAAAATCCATTTCTTATCTGCCACCAGGACTATTGATTCTGCTCAGTATTTATGCTGTCCTCTCTACCAGGTGGTTTTTTTTTTTTTTATTTCAGCAAGTCATATCCAGGTTTGGTTTCATTTCCCCTGAATTGAAGAATGTTTTTTTTCTTCCGGACATGGTTTTTGATGAGGGGTAAGCTGTGCCTGTGGCCTGCTGACACATTTCCTAGACCTCAAGGAACTCACACGATTGCCAGAAGATCTGTCTCTACTGTTAGTTTCTCATACTGAAGCTCATTGGAAAGATAATGTATAATGCTTTTTGTTTTCAATGTAGCACTTATTTACTAAGTGAACCAGTATTTCATGTGATTTCCAGTTACCTTGATTCTCCTTGGAGAATTTTATCATTACTGCATTGCCATGAACGTTGGGAGGATGTAGTATGTGTTGCTTGTTTTATTCAAACTATGTAAGCACAATAAAGTGGATGCTAAATCAGACCTGTAGACATCCTTGCTCTGTCCCTGAATGTGTAATAAGCAAGTGTAATGAACATTTTCCTTATGGCTTTATTATAAATATAACTTATGGGGAAAATAATTTGGTAGGAATAATACTGTATGTGCTCATTTTTCTTTAACTGTTTCCACTGGCAAAACTTATGAATCATAAACCTTTCTTGAATTCAGTATTCAGGATGCACATAAATCTTGTAATTAGTTCAGGTAAAATAATGTGAATGTTTCCTGAGTAAAATTCCCAAAAATCTAATTTGATACTTGTTTCTCTTCTACCTACATTCTTCATGACAGTGTTTTCCAAGACCTTGAAATTAAGTTAATCATTATGGTTTGAGAGCATTATTCTTTGGAAAGAGCTAAGGGATTTACTAGAAAAGAATGAAAGAATTAAAGTTCTACTCCCAGTGATATTGTAGGTGCTAATACTGGATCTAATCTTCCAGATTTAATTTCTGTTATGGATTTGTTAGTCATTCATCTAAACCCCAGAGGCTTGTTAATATTTTAATTGTATAAAACCCTTTTTGTTTTTCTATAGCCTGTAACGGTATGTCTGTCTGCCTTTCACACCCATTGCAATAACTTTGCCCAAATATTAATGCATTAGTAAAACTTTTCTTAAATAAATTGTCTCTCTGTTATGTTTGCTTGATAGTTTGGTGGGAAATCTCATTCAATAATGTTTGTTGTATATCTTCCTAATTGTTTTTAAGGTATTCTATGACTCCTGAGTTTCCTATTTTAATTTTTTTTAAATAGTTCTTCATGTTTATTTAGCACTTTATACTTGTAAGTCAGCGTATCAAGCTTTCTGTCGGCCAAAAATGCTGGCAATAGAGGAGCATCTTAATGATTTGGTTGCTTTCATTAAGGTGGACAAGGAGAGAGATCTTGTAATATTTGATAGCCCCTGCTTTGATAGGTTGATAGGCAATATTATGTGTATTAATCCTCTTTCACTTAAGGAACCTTATCACCCTAAGTTTCAAGCTTCCAATTCACCTGAAATATCAGGTTATTTAGACAGAAGACATTAGGTAAATGCCCTTCAACATGACGAGTTTAGAATTAGAATTTCTCTGGATTTAAGCCCTAGTTGGAGCCATAGTTTATATCAATGCTAACACTGATTTTTCAGCTGTGTAAATATAGCTTCCAAATAAGTCCTACTTTGTTACCTCATCTGGCATGAAAGTGAACTTAGATCCTTGAAAGTTATGCCATCAGAGGTGTAATCTCTAGCAGGTCCTAATTAATTAGAAAGGTTCTGAGTACCATACCAAAGATGAGCTCTGTTGTCCGAGGACCAGTGTAGCTGTAGTTAAGTTTTAAAGTATCATCACCAGAAAGTTGGCTACAGGTGGCGCTTTTTTTGGCCACAGATACTCGAGGTGTGTCTGCTAATGGGTGGATAAGTTGCACTGGTTGGTGGCAAGCCCACATTAATGAAATTGCCAATCTTTGAAGTGAAATTGCCAATCAATGTAGGGGGAAAGTGCAATAATGCTTGAAATAAACTTCAGGGGAGAAAGGTGTGATGCCATTGTCTAGTACTGACCAGATGTTTGGGGATTAGACCTCTCTCTAATAGTATATCTTTTGCTAGACATAGGATCTTCGTTCAGAATTCTGAGACCCTAAATGTTTGCACACCCAAAAGAAATTTCTAATGCTGAGTGTGTGAGAGGAGAAAATATTTCTGTGGTTTATATTCATTTTTTTTTTCTGGCTAGGCAATGGGGTTAAGTGACTTGCCCAAGGTCACACAGCTAGTAAGTGTTATGTGTCTAAGGCAGAATTTGAACTCAGGTCCTCCTGAATCCAGGGCCAGTGCTCTATCCACTGTGCCACCTAGCTGCCCCTATATTCATTTTAATGAGCTTGGTAGCAAAGGCACTAGAGAGAGAACTATTCCTCAGCCTCTTCAGGGATGAAGTAACCTTAGGTTATAGAGCAGAGGTTCCCAAACTTATTTACCCTACCACCCCCTTTTCAAAAAAATTAACTAGCACCTCTGCCCAAAATCTACTTTCTTTAACCCTTTAACTTTTTTCTTTAATTTGTGTCAATTCCAGTTTAAAATTTTTTTTAAATGATGCATCTTAAATTTAGTAATTTTAAATTTGTGGGGTTTTTCCTGCATTGAAATTTTGATGACACAATATTGTCATGTAAGTGTGTAGTATCGTATTGTAAACAAGTCATTACATGCACATACTCCTGCCATTGCATGCTGGACTTACTGACAATGCACGATGTGCTTGCCTACCAACACTTGCTTGTTAAGACCTGTCAATGAACTTGACCACTGAGCAGTTATAACTTACATTTTGTGTGTTTATTTGGAAAAGGATGTAATCACTACAATTTTAACTGTTAACATAGGTGAAATATGTATGAATGGTTTTTCAAAATTTTCTTATCTTTCCTTATGCTTCCACCACTCTTATTTTTATTTAATGTCCCCCCAATTGTACCCAAGGCTACTACCACCCCCCTGAATTATTCCAGCATACCCCCACCCCTGGAGGCAGTATCACCCACTTTGGGAACCAGTGCCTAGAGCAAGGAAAACGAGTACATTGCTTTTCATTTCTGTAAAGAAATTTGAAATTATGTGAAGAGGAGCTAAAAGGGTCACTGTTAGGCATATACCCCAAAATCAATAATAGGAGAGGCAGGTGTTCTATGCAACAAAATATGTATAGCAGCACTTTGTGATCGAAAAGAATTTGAAATAAAGATACCTGTCAACTGGAGAATGGCTTTGAAGTTCTGTGCTACGTCCATGCTGGGGTTACAAATAGAAAACCTATATAGTTCCTCACATTGTCATAGGAGGACAAAACAGGAGGTTTCAACTGCCTGTCAAGTGGATAGCAGTCTTCAACGTTTTTCCACCGTTACAATTCTATCCACCTCTAATGTTGAACCATTTGGTGATGCCAGTGATCTTGATGGCAGCATTTTGCATTTCTATGGATTGATTTCCTGGATGGTGGTGTCAGGGCCTTTGGTCTGCGGAGACAATACTGTTCCCAAGGTACTTGGGTTTACAGTGCTGGATTGTCTCCATTAAGATCTGAGAAGAGGTGATGGTTGAAGGGATGGGGGTAGCGATTTCTTGGTACACTACACAGGAATATGATGAATATGTTGAAGTTTAGTGTCGTATACTGTCAAACTTCTTTAATGTATTGGTTAGTTTTACTGAACTCATTTTTTACCCTTTTTAACAATTTTTTATTATGAAGGATGGCTCAGATAGGGAAGTAGTAGGAAATGATGTAAAAGCAAAAGAGGAACAAAAAATGTATCTTAAAATATGTAAAATACTACTTGACCTAGAAAGAAATAGTACACTGTTTACTGGAACCCAGTCACCTAAGATTTGAGGATTTAACTGATGTAGTAAGTGAGACAAAGGGACAGGAGATGGATTACATTCACAACTACCTAAGTGGTAACTTGGGAAAATAATGAGCTACCCTCCAACTCACACTTTTCCTTTTTTATGACACCATAAAATCCATTGACATAGCTAATTCATTGTGTTAATAAATCTTGGCTATGATTGAAAGTGAAAATATTTTTCAAGATGTTTATTTCTTTTTTTGGATCTCAAATTGCCTTTTTGTATTTGGCTTTCTGATAGACCTCCATTTTTTTAGAAAGTTTCCACTTTTCAAAATTCTCTAAGGAGCCAATAAAAGCATGACTGATACTTTGTGCATAACAGAGGCCTGTGCTACTTCTTTCCTCTGTGTACAATTGAAATAAAGAGCAGTGTGGAAAAAGTACTGGTTACCCCTTAGAAATAGATCACATGAACAAAACAAGCTTTTAACCTAAACTAAAAAAAAAAATCCTAATCCATGAGAATTAATAGTGAATAAAATGGGGCAAGAAATATTCCTCCCTTAAAGTTTTGCCCCATTTCCAGGCACACAGAAATTTTGTGCTCAAGTTATTAGGGAAAGAGCTCATATAGAGAAGCATGTTTTCTTTAGGGATTGTTAGACCTTTCATCCTTCATGCTTATTAGAGAGGATGAAATGACAACCAATTTCAATTATTCCTGACTTGGCCTTAGTTTGAGAAAATGAAGTAGATGTGAAAGGTTCCATTCTTCCCTTCTGAAGAGCTCCAGTGGGTGCCTCAGATGGACATTGAAAGGATTGCTGATAACTACTTTATTAGACATTTTGCTCCAGTGCACAGAAAGTTGAAATTGCATGGGCTACCAAACATCTGACAGATACTTTATTTTCCATGAATTACTGGTAGAAGCCTTGAGTAGACAGCATGAGTTTTGGAATAACTTGTGAAATCAGTATGTTTTACCATTAAAAGTAATAGGCTAAAGATTGATTAAATTATAAAAATGTAAGTGCTAATTTAGTCTCCCCATGCTAGTCTCATACATCTCTTTTACACGGGAAGTATGAACTACAAATGTGATTTTTTTGGTATAGAGAACCACCAGGCGAGGGACCTCCTTCTCTAATGCAAGTTGACACCTTCTCTGCAACTTATGATCTTAGAGTTGTCTAGAATACTGGGAAGTTAAGTTATGGGCCCAGAGTCACACAGTCAATATGTGTCAGAGACGGAAGTAGAACCCAAGCCTTCCTGGCTTCCAAGTCACCTCTTTATCCACTATGCCGAGCTATCTTTCTTATCCAAAAGGTGCAAGGTTTGAAACAGTAAAATTAAAATTCTGCCCAATAGATTTACTGATACAAATAAATCTCATAAACTAAACCTCCTAGCACCACCACCCCCAAAAAGCAGATGTTTTTCAGAGGGCAGGGAGTGTTACTTTTGACAGTACTGAGGAAAAATTACAACATTAGGAAGCAATGGGGCAAGTTTGGATTTATTTGTGTAGTCCAGTCTCCACCCTACAAAAGGATAGACTAGACCAAGGAATTCAGGAGCCATTACCAAACAGAACACAAGTTTATACTAGCAGGGCTTTTGTATTGATGGGCTATATGAGTAGACTTAGCCTGCAAGTGGGAACTCACTTAACTTAGGCAGTCACTTTGTTACCCTGGTGGTAGGATCTTTAATGTTCAGGTTCATAAATCATTTTGTCTTTGAAGAATTTCTTTTCCTTTCTCCTTACAAAGCTTTTAAAAAAAAAAAAATCCAAATGCCTTAAAAATAAGAAATCTGAAGCCACAGGCCCCCAGAGCTAACTTCCTTGATCTTAATGTTTCTGTTCATGTACATGCTGCCTTACCTCGTGTTTTCACAGACCAGTTTATTGCCAGGAAATGAATGTAATAATTTGTACTGAAAATGTTTTTGCAATTACACTTCTGGGGGCAACTAAGTGCTGAACAACATGACTGTATAACCTCAGATCCTGTGGTATATAGGGGGCTTAGAAACATGGATGTCATTTGGCATTTTCTTTCCAATTAAAGGAATGATGTGTATAGCCTTTGCACATCTGTGTGTCTCATACAGTGTGCAAGTGTTTCATTTACTCTAATGCCTGTGTTCTCAAATACTTAAAGGATTTGTGTTGGAAAAAGGTGTATGTCAAAGTAAGAAATGAGAAGTGATTGAATTACTCAGGTAGCAAAAGAAGGAAAAGGCCAGACTTGGTACATTTA